CTTTGGTGTTGTAGGTATAGAAGAAGGGGAGGCAGAAAAGAAATTATTGTTATTATTGTTGTTATTATTATTTTCTTCTCCCCATCTAGCAAGTGATAAAAGTTGATTAATTATACTATGTATACGAATACGACGCTCTTTATCATTAAGATTAAGATTAAGATTAAGATTAAGATTATTATTATTTTTATTTTTATTTTTATTGTTCAATTCTATTTTGTTACTGTTCGAATTGTCTACTACACAGACTCCCAAATTCGTAATTAGAGACGAATTACCATCCTGTGATTTGTTATCTATTTTTATTTTTGAATTTTCTTTTATTGAATCATTATTATCATCGTTATTACTGCTATTATTATCACGTTCTTTTGTTTTAAAATCAATATTATTTAAATTTACTGCATATTCTGATGATTGTGTTAATTGTTTATCTTTAAATTTATCATCATCGTCATTGTCGTCGTCATGACGCTTATCATCATTATGATTTTGATTTTGCGCTTCATCTAATTTTTCCAAGTCTAAGAACGAGATTAAGATTTATTAATATTAATTATTGTTGCTATGATTATTCAAGAACAATAAAAAAAAAAAAGTAAAACTAACCCAATTGTACATTGGTTAATACTCTACTACCACCAATTTTTGACTTGTACTCTAATGCATTCTTCCCATCACGAATCAATGTATCTATTACTAGGCATATTTTACGAAATCTAATATCGCTCTCTTTCCTATTTTCTTCTGAATTGACCTATGTATATGTGTATAATTTAAGTTTTATTTGATTAAATAATGAAAAACAAAACAAAAAAATTTTTTGTAAACAAAAGTTATTTTTTTCTCAATTATAATAAAAACAAATTTACTTCTGAAATAGGTGTTGTTACTTGATTTTCATCAACACTTCCATTTTCATCTTCATAACATAAAAAAGAATCATCAAAATAAGAAAAACATACTATTAACTCTATTTCATTAAATCATAACAATCAAAAAATAAGTAAATAAAGTATTTAAAAAAGCAAACAAACAATAAATTTTTGCAATAATTTGAAAAAGACTTGATCTTTTCATTCAGTAAAAATGTAATCGAATTATTTGAAGAAGCAGACAGAATTTCAGCCTTCACCTCTATCAACATTCATGCTGCTTTTTTGTTTAATATTACACTTAATGTTAATAATGGTTACAAAAAGCAAATACATCAATTGTTCATTATAAAAGGCATCCACGGACAAAGATACAATAGTATCAGAGCATTCACCATCAAATGGTAAGTTGCTGCAGATGAGAGAATTGATATCATCAGCTGTTCATCAAAGCCCAAAAACATGTGTTGTACTTAAAATGGCATTTATATTTGGGAATTGGAAATGTTTTCATTTATCATCAACTTTGATTTCTCACTAAGGATTCCAAATCTTAACTCTTCTAACAAATTGTAGAAACTCAAGTCATCTTTCTGTCATTTTGGTTGATGCAGGAAAACAGGGAAGAATGAATTCCAAGCTGGTGAGAAAAAAACTTGCTGAGCATTGACTGGAGGAAGCTGGGTGAGATCACCAACCACCAGGACTGGGACACCTCCAAATACCTTGTGGTTCTTGTGCAAAGAACCAAACATGTTGCTCAAGGATGTGAAAAGTGTACCTGACACCACAGAGATTTCCTCAACTATGATGGCTTTAATTTCTAAAAGTTCCTCACTCTCTAATGACAATGTTTGGTGATGTCCATCAAATTGTCTCAATTTTAGGGCTGAATGGATTGTCCTACCTCC